TGGTAGGGGGAGGGGAGATTTTGAAACTTGTGAAATCCACATTGATACCATTGAGCTGCAGGGTTCCCAAGCGGAATATGAGTTGCAGTTCCTGCAACCTTCTGGTGGCATCGTTGCGGCACTGCAGGAGGTCCAGGATGGACATGTCGTCTGAGGAATGGGAGGGGGAGTTGAAATGGTTCGCGACTGGGAGGTGCAGTTGTTTATTGCGAACCGAGCGTAGGTGTTCTGCAAAGTGGTCCCCGAGCCTCCGTTTGGTTTCCCCGATGTAGAGGAAGCCACAACGGGTACAGCGGATGCAGTATACCACATTGGCAGATGTGCAGGTGAACATCTGCTTGATGTGGTAAGTCTTCTTGGGGCCTGGGATGGGGGTGAGGGAGGAGGTATGGGGGCAGGTGTAGCACTTCCTGCGGTTGCAGTGAAAAGTGCCGGGAGTGGTGGGGCTGGAGGGGAGTGTGGAGTGGACAAGGGAGTCATGGAGAGAGTGGTCCCTCCGGAAAGCAGATAAGGGTGGGGAGGGAAAGATGTCTTTGGTGGTGAGGTCGGATTGCAGATGGCGGAAGTGTCGGAGGATGATGCGTTGGATCTGGAGGTTGGTGGGGTGGTACGTGAGGACGAGGGGGATTCTTTTTTGGTTGTTATTGCGGGGACAGGGTGTGAGGGATGAGTTGCGGGAAATGTGGGAGACACGGTTGAGGGCGTTCTCGACCACTGAGGGGGGGAAGTTGCGGTCCTTGAAAAACGAGGACATCTGAGATGTACGGGAGTGGAATGCCTCATCCTGGGAGCAAATGGGGCGGAGGCGAAGGAATTGGGAATAGGGGATGGCATTTTTGCAGGAAGGTGGGTGGGAGGAGGTGTATTCTAGGTAGCTGTGGGAGTCGGTGGGCTTGAAATGGATATCGGTTTCTAGGTGGTTGCCCGAGATGGAAACAGAGAGATCCAGGAAGGAGAGAGAGGTATTAGAGATGGTCCAGGTGAACTTAAGGTTGGGGTGGAAGGTGTTGGTGAAGTGAATGAACTGTTCCAGCTCCTCGTGGGAGCACGAGGCGGCGCCGATACAGTCATCAATGTAACGGAGGAAGAGGTGGGGTTGAGGGCCAGTGTAGGTACGGAAGAGGGATTGTTCCACGTAATCTACAAAGAGGCAGACATAGCTTGGGCCCATGCGGGTACCCATGGCCACCCCCTTTGTCTGTAGGAAGTGGGAGGAATTGAAAGAGTTGTTGAGGGTGAGGACGAGTTCGGCTAAGCGGATGAGGGTGTCAGTGGAGGGGGACTGGTCGGGCCTGTGGGACAGGAAGAAGCGGAGGGCCTTTCGGCCATCTGTATGGGGAATGCAGATGTAGAGGGACTGGACGTCCATGGTAAAGATGAGGTGTTGGGGACCGGGGAATTGGAAGTTCTGGAGGAGGTGGAGGACGTGGGTGGTGTCACGGACGTAGGTAGGGAGTTCCTGGACCAAGGGGGAGAAAATGGAGTCTAGATAGTTGGAGATAAGTTCGGTGGGGCAGGAGCAGGTGGAGACAATGGGTCAACCAGGGCATTCAGGTTTGTGGATTTTGGGAAGGAGATAGAAGCGGGCGGTGCGGGGTTGGGGAACGATGAGGTTGGAGGCCGTGGGTGGGAGGTCACCTGAGGTGATGAGGTTGTGGATGGTTTGGGAGATGATGGTTTGGTGCTCGGGGGTGGGGTCATGATCTAGGGGGCAGTAGGAGGAGGTGTCGGAGAGTTGGAGTCTGGCCTCGAAAATGTAGAGGTCAGTGCGCCATACTACAACTGCGCCTCCCTTGTCCGCGGGTTTTATGGTGAGGTTGGGATTGGAGCGAACGGAGCAAAGGGCTGCACGTTCTGCGGGGGAGAGGTTGGAGTGGGTGAGAAGGGTGGAGAGGTTGAGGCGATTGATGTCTCGATGGCAATTGGAGATGAAGAGGTCAAGGGAGGGTCGGAGGCCTTGGGGTGGTGTCCAGGAGGAGGGGGCGTGTTGGAGGCAGGAGAAGGGGTCAGTAGAGGGACGGTTAGGTTCACGGTTGAAGAAGTAAGCATGGAGGCGGAGGCGGCAGAAAAACTGCTCTATGTCCAAACGTGACCGGTATTCGTTGATGTGTGGGTGGAGGGGGACAAAGGTATATTGTTTGAGAGAACTTATTGTGCACAAAGCGGCAGCTAGCTTCCTACATCAGAAGAGTACTTGCACTTGAAAAGTGCTGAATTACCTCTAAAACATTCTGAGATGACTGGAGACTTTGAAAGGCAAATGTAAACAGAAATTGACAGTTTTGATGAAAGACTTGAAACGTTAACTCTTGTTTTCTCCTCACAGATGCTGTCCAGATCTGCTGAGTTTCACCAGCAATTTCTGCTTTTGTTTCAGATCTCCAACATCCACAGTTTTCCTGGCCCCGAAGCGTTAACTCTGTTTTTTCCTTCACAGATGCTGCCAGGCCTGCTGAGCTTTTCCAGCAACTTTTTTTTTGTCCACAGTTCTTCGTCTTCTTTTACTATACAAACGTGAGCGGGGCTGTTGTGGTGCAGATGTAGTATCCCTATCTCTGGGATAGAAGGCCCAGCTCCACCAGCTTTAGAGGTGTGTCATAACACGTGAACAGGTTGATTAAACATATCTTTAAATGCAAGTACAAACTGAAATGCTGCTATGCGCCAGCAAACTCTAACTTTTTTAAAAAAATACTCTGCTGCAGCATAGAAACTATGGTAGTTTTTAAAAATGCACAAAATCGCTTGATAATGATAAACCTTTACAACAGAGGGCGACACAATCGCGGAAATGTGTTTTGAAAAAGCTTTTCTTTGCTGAATGCAAGACCAGCAGATGGCAGTGACAGTCCATTCGTCGGCAGTAGCAGGAAGAGAGAAGGAACGAACTGGGCATTGGAAAATCGGCGAGGCATTGCTAAACGGTAGAAGTTCGTCTTATTTTGTGTTACGTTGACTCGATTGCAGTAAGGCCAACCCTTGGACAACGTTGCATTTATTATTATGGCACAGCCTGCCTTCCTAATGTTCCCTTTGTCTGTGTGTGTCTGGGTGGGAATGGTTTGCAGATGTAGGGCCGCGCTCCTGCTGCTTTGTCAGACAGATCGATCCGGACACAGCGCAGTGAGGCGGGGTGGGCGGGGGGGGGGGTAGTATACCAAACCCGCTTGTGTGATTGACATGGGAATGGAGCAATCAGCAGGCGGCCTGCCACTACACTACAATGAGTAGCCAATGCCTTTTAAGGGAGGTTGGTGAAGTTTGGTTGAGTGGAAGGGTCAGGGAAGTTGCCAATTTCGGTTCCTCCTTGTCACCTACTGCTACAGTCTGGTTATTTTGTGTTGTGGCTGGGAGTTGTAAACTTCCCTAATGAAGAGTTCTGGCCTCTGCATTATAGAAAGGATGTGGTTGCACTGGAAGGGGTGATTCACCAGAATGTGGGGGATGGAGCACTTTCGCTGTGAAAAGAGGCTGTATAAGCTTGGATAACAAGGTGTAGAGCTGGATGAACACAGCAGGCCAAGCAGCATCAGAGGAGCAGGAAAGTTGACGTTTTGGGTCTAGACGTTTCTTCAGAAATTTTCCTCTGATGCTGCCTGGCCTGTTGTGTTCTTCCAGCTCCATACTAAATAAATCTAGTCCCATTTGCCAGCCTTTGGCCCATATCTATTTAAACCTTCCTATTCATATGCCTTTTAAATGTCACCAGCTTCCACCACATCAACTGGCCTCTCATTCCATACACAAACCACCCTCTGTGTGAAAATGTTGCCCCTTTTAAATCTTTCCCCCTCACCTTAAACCTATGCCCTGTAGTTTTGGACTCCTCCACCCCTTATCTATTTATCCTATCCATGCCCTCATAATTTTACAAACCTCTATAAAGTCACCCCTCAGCCTCTGATGCTCCAGGGAAAATAGCCCAGCCTATTCAGCCTCTCAAACCCTCCGACCCTGGCAACATCTTTGTAAATCTTTTCTGAACCCTTTCAAGTTTGACAACATCCTTCCAAGAGCAGGGAGACCAGAACTGCACACTCTATTCCAAAAGTGGTGTAACCAATGTCCTGTACAGCTGCAGCATGACCTCCCAACTCCTATACTCAATGCACTGACCAATAAAGGTCAGAAATCACACAACACCAGGTTACAGTCTGTTCAGCATTCTAATATGTTGCAGGAAGTGTTCAGACATCCCAAAAGTCAGATAATCCCTTTTTTTGAAATACAAGATGTTGCTGCCAGGCCAACATCCTCATCTCTTTTTTGAGTTAAGGAGTTTGGTTCGGCCAATCCTTGCACCACTTCAGAGATTTGAGTGCAAAGTCCAGTCTATACTGTGGGAAAGCAGGTTTGTTGTAGATGCCACCTTTTGGATGAGACCTCACACATACACCTTTTCTGGCCCCATGAGAGATTGCAAGATATCATTCCAAGGAAGATCAGGGATGTCCTTCAAAGTGCATTGGCATGGTCAGACATTGTGAAAGGCACTGTAGAAATCCAAATAGAAAATGCTGGAGAAACTGAGCAAGTATGGCAGCATCTGAGGAGAGAGAAACAAACTTTATGTTTCAAGTCTGGTATGACTTCTTCTGAAGGTTCAAGTAGGACTCAAAACATTGACCCCGTTTCTTTCTCTACAGATGCTGCCAGACCCATTGAGTTTCTCTAGCATTTTTCTGTTTTTATTTCAGATTTCCAGCATCTGCAGTATTTAATCTTTACTATATGAATGCAATTATATCAGACTACAAAATTATTGGATCAATTCAATAATTTGAATTCAGTGATTTTGAAGTACTGTAGACATTTTGCTGAATGTTGAATTGTGCACACTTTCTCACAGCACTGTGAGATGTACTTACACCTTAAACACTGCAGTGATTCAAAAAGCGAGCTCACCACTGCCTTCGCAAGGGCAATTAGGCTTCGTTAGCGACACCCACATCCTACAAATGGATGAAATAAAAAGTCCAGCCTGCTGGGAAACAGCGAATCAAGAAAAAAGTAATTGTTAAGCATGGAGGAGAATGCATGATGACTGAGAAAATAAGCAAAATATCAAAACCGCACCCCCGCTTTCTTCTACACAAAACCTGACATTCTAAAACACAAATTCAACAACTATATCCACAGCTTGACTGAACAAGTGAAATTTTGTTTAATAATATGGACTTCCAGACATTTTATCAACATGTGGAGGATGATTTGTAATTTGATCTATTTTTCTATTTCAGTCAAATCTTTTACACAGACAGGTCAAAAGTTATGGGGAGATGCTTATAATTGTCTGAATGTTAGTTGCAGGTAGACAAATATTCTGAAATCTAAAATGAAGATAAAAAGTGTTGGAAATTCTCAGCCGATGTGGCAGCATCTGTAGAGAGAAAAACAGCAAGAACATTTCAGATCAAAGTGACTATATAAATATTTATGGCCTCTTGTTTCAAACATGGTCAAACAGGCTGGCAAGAGGCAAAACAGTACTGATACAGATCTATTCTGAAAAATAAATGATGGATTAGGAAAGGACAACAGAAATTTACAAATGCTGTAACCATGAAATAAAAGGAGAAAAGTCTGAAACATATATAGCAGGCTAGTGAAAATCATAAAAAGAATGGAAGATTAATAATGAGGTTGTGACTCACCATCAGAGCATCTCAAAGAAAATCACGTACCAACCAGCACTTTTTTCTTTGAAGATGCACTGCCTTTCAGTGAATTCTAAAAATTAATCCAGAAAGTTCACTAATCAGTGTTGGGACCGCAATTGTTTACAGTTTACATAGATGATATGGAGTTGGGCACGAAGTGTGGTGTGTCAAAACTTGCAGATGACACTAAGGTGAGTGGTAGAGCAAAGTGTGCAGAAGACACTGAAAGTCTGCAGAGGGATATAGATAGTCTAAGTGAGTAGGCAAAGGTCTGGCAGATGGAGTACAATGTTGATAAGTGTGAAGTCATCCATTTTGGTAGGAATAACAGCAAAATGGACTATGTTTTAAATGGTAAAAAATTGCAGCACGCTGCTGTGCAGAGGGACTTGGGTGTCCTTGTGCATGAATTGCTAAAAGTAGGATTGCAGGTGCAGCAGGTAATTAAAAAGGCAAATGGAATTTTGTCTGCCATTGCTAGAGGGATGGAGTTTAAAAACAGGGAGGCTATGCTGCAGCTGTATAGGGTCCTGGTGAGGCCACACCTGGAGTACTGTGTGCAGTTTTGGTCTCCTTACTTGAGAAGAGATGTACTAGCACTGGAGGGGGTGCTGAGGAGATTCACTCGGTTGATTCCAGAGTTCAGAGGGTTGGATTCTGAGGAGATACTGAGTAGACTGGGATTATACTCATTGGAATTCAGAAGAATGAGGAGAGATCTTATAGAAACATATAAGATTATGAAGGGAATAGATAAGGTGGAGGCAGGGAGGTTGTTTCCGCTAGCAGGTGAAACTAGGACTAGAGGACATCGCCTCAAAATAAAAGGAAGCAGATGTAGGACTGAGGTCAGGAGGAACTTCTTCACCCAAAGGGTTGTGAATCTGTGGAATTCCCTGCCCAGTGAAGCAGTTGAAGCTACCTCGCTGAACGTTTTTAAGGCAAGGCTAGATAAATTTTTGAACAGTAAAGGAATTAAGGGTTATGGTGAGTGGGCAGGTAAGTGGAGCTGAGTCTCAAAAAGATCAGCCATGATCTTATTGAATGGCGGGGCAGGCTCGAGGGGCCGGATGGCCTACTCCTGCTCCTAGTTCTTAGATTCTTATGTTCTTATATAGACAAACAACATTGTTTCAGTTAATTCAAGGATACTTTTATGAGCAAACTGTGACAACTTTTATTTTTGGTAAAACATTGTCATTGTACCGCAGCGTTGGATTGTCATTCTGGCAAATATATTCTCGGATGTGGCCCTTCTTGCATTTTGGGGTGAAATCCCCATGTTTGCTTTTCCCAATTTGTTGAAATATAGGATACGGAGAAAGGTGGAATGGGGCTTTCTTCCATAGAGGATCAACAAAAGTATTGTGGGTGAAATAGTTTCTTCATTCAAGTCATCCCCTGTGATAGCAATTTTGACATTATAATCAGTCACTGGCCAAATTCCCTACAGGATTTATAAGTGACTTATTTCACTTATTGCCGCTGATTTTGGAAGTGGCTGATTATGATATCAGAGAATTAGAGAAATAAAAAATGAAAGCATCTTGACTATAATCAAGTCACAAGGATTATAAAAGAGAAGTGAAGGAACTGGAATAGATTCTAAAGATCATAACACATTTGTATGCACAGGGCAGCACCTTTTTGGATGTTCAATAGCCTCCACTTTGGGCAGAAATACTCAGCCCCACATTATTAGGACAACAAATTAAATTGTTGTGTTTGACCATGCCCTTTGTCCTTCAAATTTGGTTTTCCCTGCCATATGCATTCAAGAATACCAAGTCTTGGGATTTCTGCTACCCAACAAGGCCTGTGTTTTTAATGCGCTATTCCTGGACACTCCTCCTGGCCCTGCAGTTAAAGGAATGTATCTCCCTCATCTTCAACATCCTGCCCCCACTCCCAGGATTGCCCCCTGCTGGTAGTATTTTGTGTTTTCCGGGCATCTATGTTGGGACCTCAGATTTTCACCATAGTCTTATCAGACCACAGGACTACACTCTCATCAGAGAGAGAGAGACAAGTGGTGGTGGCTTAACCCAAGGGTCACTGTGCCTCAGATGAAGGAAGAGGTCAAGAAGGAGAATCCTCCTTGGTAACCTCAGCCAGTGCATTGAACGCACACTGTTGGCATTGCTCTGCATCACAAACTAACCATCCAACCAAAAAAGCTAACCAACTCCTTTTCACCATATGTGAATTGGATATAAAGGGAGACAAGGTTGTATATCTATGTTTGCAGGCACTACTTCAACAGG